TTAATGACACGTGCGAATCCACGGGCACGTACCAACATACAACAAATAACGCGTAACCTACGACTGGTAAGCCACTTACTTGGTAGGCCTTAGCCGAAGTACTCCCTAAAATATAAACATAAGCTCCTAGCTCCTCGTAACCGTTCTACGCTCCCGTTGGTGGTTGGTTCCTATTGGACGCTCCCGTTGGTGGTTGGTTCCTATTGGATCATTCGACACCTTCGTTAGTATTTCACAAACATAATTAATTTCCAACTTGAATTTGTGAAATACGACCTTAAAATGATCTATTTTACCTTAACCGTGCCAAACAGGTCGGAAACAGGTTTTTGAGCCGAATAAGCCGTTGGAGCCAAGGGGTGTTGCGTTGCAAATGTGCCACGTGGCACAATCAGAGGTCGATGCGTGTGCAGTAGTCTCGGGTCGAGGTGCGGGTTGTTAGGTCAATCGAAGGTTTTTGGGTCGCGTCGCGGGTGACGGGCCGGCCTAGGCTGAAGGAAACGTGTAGGTCGGCTAGACTGGGCTTATTGATCTCGGGTCGGTTGGGTTTGTGCTCTCGGGTCGTGGCTGGTGGGTTAGGTCGTAACTAGGCTTACGGGTTTGGGCTGAGGTGATTGGGCCGCAGGAGTCGCCGGGTGTTGGACTGACTTACGGTGGTTGGATTCGGTTTGGGTTGCGGGATCCGGCCCTCAGATCGAACTTTGTCTTCTTCACCCGGTTGCTTGCGTTTTTCGGCGACCTCTCTCTCTCCTCATTAACGTCATTTCGACGCCTTTTTCCCTCTTTTTTCCTCCGTTCTCGAGTCCCTTTCTCCCTTTAATTCCGTTTCTGGTATTGATTTTGTTCATAAAGGCCTCACACTCTCGGATCTGAGAGGGTTTGGAAATTCGACGTTCCGTCTCCCTTGCCGACAGTGTACAATGTGTAGGACTCATCTAAATCTACCCCTGATGTGTGTAAAAGACTCTGGGATTACTTTTGTTGCGTAAAATGGAGGTTTTGACATCGATTTCGTTGGGTTTGGCCTCGCTGGAGTTTCGTCGGATTTTCTCTGTCTTCTTAGTTTTCACTTATTTTTTCCTTCTTTGTAGGTGTCTTGGGGTGGCTGAAGGTCGAGATCGAGTTTCCTTGGCGACCTAGACTTTGGCCGCCATTTGTGGGTCGTGTACGAACGAATACTCCGGCGTTCGTCGGAGTTTTCGGTCCTACCGATGACTCGGTTATTTATTTGTTTTTTATTTTATTTTATTTTATTATTTTTTTATCCAATCCGTTACATTACCTACCCCTAAAAAGAACTTTCGTCCTTGAAAGTCTCGAACTCTTGGATCAACTCGGGATATTTTTCATTTATTTCCTCCTCTCATTCCCACGTCACTTCCTCCATTTGGTGGTTACGCCGCAATACCTTGACGAAACCTATGTTTCTATTACGTAAGGCTTTCACTTCTCGAGCTAGGATTTTAATCGGTTTCTCGTGATAACTTAAATTTTCCTCGATCTTGAGAGGTTTATAGTCTATTACGTGCGTAGGGTCTGCAATATATTTTCTTAACATGGACACATGAAACACATCGTGTACGCTCGAGAGTGAAGGTGGTAAAGCTAGTTTGTAAGCTATTGAACCTATTCTTTCTAAATTTTTGAACGGTCTGATAAATCGGGGGTTTAGCTTCCCCTTTCGTCCGAATCTTAGAATACCTTTCATAGGAGCTACTTTTAGGAACACTAGGTCTTCCTCTTTGAACTCTAAGTTCCTACGCCTAACGTCGACGTAGCTCTTTTGCCTACTCTGTGTGGTGCGCATCCTTACTCTAATTTTCTGTACCGCCTCGTTGGTGATGCGAACCAGCTCGGGTCCTACCATCTCTCGTTCTCCTACTTCGTCCCAGCACAATGGGGATCTACACCGTTTTCCATACAACGCTTCAAAGGGTGCCATCCCGATGGTTGCTTGGAAACTGTTGTTGTACGAGAATTCCATTAAGTGTAGTTTAGTGTCCCAACTCCCTGTGAAATCCATAACACATGCCCGAAGCATGTCTTCCAGGATTTAGTTTAATAGTTCAGTTTGGCCATCAGTTTGTGGGTGGAAGGCGGTGCTAAAGTCGAGGCGGGTATCCAACGCTTTTTGGAGTCCGCGCTAAAAGGCCGATGTAAAACGCGGCTCCCGGTCCGACACAATAGACACTGGAACTCCATGCAACCTCACAATTTCTTTAACATACAGTTGAGCCCAATTGTCTACTGTATATGTTTCCTTACGCAGTAGGAAGTGTGCCGACTTTGTTAGCCGATCGACAACCACTCAAATTACCGTGTAGCCCTTTAGTGTCTTGGGTAGGCCTACTATGAAATCCATAGCAATTTTTTCCCATTTCTATTCCAGTATACTTAGAGGTTGTAGTAGCCTGGCGATTTTGTGCCTAGGGACTTTTACTTGTTGGCACACCAGACATTTACTCACGGATTCCGCGATATCCTTTTTTATACTTCGCCACCAGAAGTGTTGTTTCAAGTCTTGATACATCTTTGTTCCACCTAGATGTATCGAGAAGGGTGAGTTGTGTGCCTCAGTTAGGATTTTGTTCTTTATTTTGCTCATCGGTGGGACACATAAACGTCCTTGACATAATAGTCCATCATTTGTTGACTTAGAAAAACTGTCCACTGGGCCAACTTTCAACTGGTTTAGGATTTTGTTTAGGCTTGGATCCTCACGGTGTGAGTCTATGACCCTCTATCTGAGCGTGGGATGCACTGTCAGTCGGGCTATTTGGGTTGCAACCTCCTTGGTTACTACCGCTATGTCAGCTTGTTTGAAATCAGTTCGCACTTGTGGCTTCCTTGTGATGAGGGCCGATGAGTGTACTGTTTTTCAACTTAGTGCATTAGTGACAGCGTTTGCTTTTCAGGGTGGTACTGGATATCTATGTCGTAATCTTTTACCAGCTCTAGCCATCTACGTTGTCTCATGTTCAATTCTTTTTGTGTGAACAAGTATTTTAGGCTTTTATGGTCCGTATAAATTTGGGTCTTTTCGCCATACAGGTAGTGTCGCCAAATTTTGAACGCGAACACCACTTCCACCAACTCCAAATCATGTTTAGGATAATTTTTTTCATAATCCTTTAGTTGGCGTGATGCGTACGCAACACCTTGCCATGTTGCATCAGTACACAACCCAACCGTTTTTTGGATGCATCACTGTAAATCACGTATCCCATAAAACTTTTTGGAACTGTGAGCACTGGGGAGGATACTAGTCTTTGTATTAGTTCTTGAAAGCTGGCCTCACAAGTATCGTTTCAAACGAAGGGTACATCTTTTTTTGTCAATTGGGTGAGAGGCGTGGCTATTCTAGCAAAGTCTTGAACAAACCTTCGATAGTAACCCGCCAATCCCAAGAAACTTCGTATCTCGGTGACCATAGTTGGGCGTTTCCATTTCGTGACAGCTTCTATCTTGTTGGGATCTACTAAAATTCTGTCTTTAGACACTACGTGCCCCAAAAACGAAACCTGTCGTAGCCAAAATTCGCACTTGGAGAATTTGACATACAACTTGTTCTCCCTTAGGATAGTTAGGGCTTTGCGAAGGTGCTCTTGGTGTTCTAGGTCTATTTTCGAGTATATCAGGATGTCGTCTATGAACACAATCACAAACGAGTCTAAGCACTTCTTAAATACTCGGTTCATTAATTCCATGAATACCGCTGGGGCATTAGTGAGACCAAAATACACCACCACAAACTCACAGTGGCCATATCTGGTTCGAAAGGCTGTTTTTGGTATATCTTCGTTTTTAATCTTAATTTGATGGTATCCTGATCGAAGATCTATTTTGGAGAACACTGTCGCCTCTCAAAGTTGGTCAAATAGGTCCTCAATGTGGGGTAATGGGTATTTGTTCTTTACCATCCTCTTGTTTAACTCTCTATAATCAATGCATAGACGCATAGAGCCGTCTTTCTTTTTGACAAACAACACTGGCGCTCCCCAAGGGGATACGCTAGGTTGAATGAAGCCTTTATCTAATAGGTCTTGCAGTTGTAATTTAAGTTCTTTTAGTTCTGCTAGTGCCATGCGATATGGGGCCTTAGAGATGGGTCCCGTTCCTGGCTCCAACTCTATTCCAAAGTCTACCTCTCGCGATGGAGGGATTCCCGGGAGGTCCTCCGGGAAGACATCTATAAATTCATTTACTATGGGTGTATCTATTAAGTTTTCCTTTCCTTTTGTATTTACTGCACAGGTTAGAAACGCCCACCCCCCTTGTTGTACCAAGCGTCTCGCTTTCATCATCGATATTATTTTTGGGGTGGTACCTGTGAAGGTTTCTTTAAACTTAAAGGTAAGTCTGTTTGGAGGTGTGAATATCACCTCTTTCTTATGGCAGTCTATGCTAGCAAAGTTTTCGGCTAGCCAGTCCATTCCTAGTATGACGTCAAAATCCGTCATATCCACTACATCTAAGTCTACGTGGATCGTTTGTCCAGCTATTACCACTTGTCCATCTTTTACTCTATTTTTCGTAACTAGGTCTACCCCTACTGGGGTGCCGACCGACAATACATGCATTAAGGGTTCTACTACGAACCCTGCTTGTTTAACAAATGGTAAAGAAACGAACGAATGGGTAGAACTAGAATCAAACAATGTCAATGCAAAGTGTCCTAATATAGAAAGCGTATCTGTCACCACGGTGCTAGACGTTCCCGCCTCTTTACTGGTCATTGCATATGCCCTGGTCTGTGGGCAGGTTTGTGTAGTGGGTTCTCTAATGATCGATCCTCTAAGGGGTTCCCTTAGATTTCCTGTGCTCCTTGTAAGGCAAGTTCTGGCCTGGTGACCTACATGACGGCAAATATAACACATACCTGAGCCTGCCAAACATCTCCCAACATGTTGTTTTCCATAGTCACGGCACAGGGGTTTCTCCGGTATTAGGTATCGGGCTATTGAGGGTGGAGCAGGTAGCCTATTCTGATATCGAGGTCTCTAGAGCGGTGGTTGGAATTCTGTGGGTCCGGCCTCGATAGGACGTTTCTTTCCTGTGACAACCGTTAGCTCCAGTTTTTTCTCCTCCAGAGGTTTCTCTACGGCCTTGGCCGTCCTCAAGGCCTCTTCATAAGTTTTTGGGTTAAAAGTCTCCAACATGCGGCGGATCTTCGAGTTCAACCCCAACACAAATTTCTCTATCTGTTTCTCTTCAGTGTCTGCTAATGACGGTGCAAACCTTCTTAGTCTCATGCATTCCTGATCATACTGATCCACCGTGTGATCACCTTGGGTTAAATGGTTAAACTCTTGTTGTTTCTTTATACGGGTTTCCTTTGGATAATAATACTTCAGAAAGGCTTCCTTAAAGGTTTCCCACGTTGTAATCCCCTCACTCGGGTTGATACTCTGTTTATTATCCGACCACCACACTTCTGCATCTTTTTGTAATACATACGTCGCACACGTCACCTTATGTTCATCGAGGCATCTGATTGATTCAAAGGTCGTTTTCATGTTTGCGATCCACATTTGAGCCGTTGTGGGATCTTCATTTAAACTGACAAAATGACGGGGTTATACCGTCTAAAATCCTTTAACCAACTCGCACCTCTGTCCGGTTGCGAGTTGTTGGCCAGTTGTATAACTACTGCATCCACCGGTTGCGTGGCCGCTGCGTTGGCTGGTTGCGTGGCCATTGTCGTGACTTGTTGCGTAGCTAACAACGTGACCTGTTGTGCGGCCAACATTGTTTGCATTGTCGTTTGGAGTGACTCCAACATTAACCTTGTGGCGAGGTTTAACTCAGCTTGCGGTGCAGCTTGAGGGGGTGGTGCGTATTCAGGAGAGGGTACAGCTTGTGAGGGAGGTGCATTTTTAGGAGGGGGTACAGCTTGTAGGGGTGGTACAGTTTGTGGGGGAGGTGCATGTTCAGGAGGTGGCACAAACGCATAGGGTCAAGTAGTCGATCCTTCTTGGGAAGAGTTTCTTTCGGCTTCTCTTCTTCCCCCTCTCCTAATGGGAGGTCGCCCACTCCCTCTCCTACCTAAGGTAAAGACATGCACTAACACCAGATCACATCACAAGACAAAATCATATAGTATCATGTCATTCAACATTTAAAGCAAACCACATTAAATATATCACAAAAATTATACATCCCTCGTCCTACATAAGGTGTACCTGACAACGACGGGGCATCGGTAATTGGATCATGGAACATGTTAATCCTACTTTGTAGGCTAGTCTACAAGATCTATAACCTAGAGCTCTGATACCAACTGTAACGACCCTAAAATTTACTTATTTAATCGAAGGTCATTACTATACCTTGAAATGCGAAATTTACATTAAATGGGCCCTTACCATAAATGCGAATTACACTCGCCTTTTATTACCTCATGAAAAAGAAGACGAATAGAAGGGAAAGAAAGGAAAAAGAACAATACTGAAATAATCGTCTTAAACTACCCTATGGTTTATTATGCGATTACAATTCAACATATACTAACCTATACTACTGATGCAAACCGAATTCAACCTATACTTACCTATACTAGGAAATGAAAAACAACTACCCTATGCATGTGGCACGGTTCCCGGGTGTACAATGCCGGCGTCGATCTCACATGGGTGTCTTGCCCTTATCTGAAAAAGTAAAGTAGCACGAGGCATGAGTATTTCTAGAATACTCAGTAAGTGACCCCCTATCGGGGTTATGAACCAATCACATGCAATGAGATGATGTGATAAGATAAGGAACCACTACAAGGGGAGTAAGATTCGAATTATCTTGTTGATTGAATATCTCAAGGCAAGAACATTGTTTGAGATTCGAATCACTCCACAAGCAAGATCGATCATGTCTAGCTTGAATGATCTTGTTGATCAAATATCTCAAACACTTGTTTGAGATTCGAATCACTCCACAAGCAAGATTGATCATGTCGAGCTTGAATGATTCTACATGCAACCTAAACTACATAGATGTTGCAAATAAACTTAGCCATTGGCTAAAGAAAGCACAAATGCTCCTTTTACTATATATTTTCCAAATCGACTTACAAATACAACATACATGGCTTTATATAGCCTCAAAAATGAAACTATTAAAGGCATTCCAAGAGTTGTAACCTTCATACTTTATGGCCATAATTAACCATTATGTAAATGTAACCTAAAGTAAATAAAATTTCTTAAAATACAATAACTCTAAATTACTCTAAATTGTAACCCACCCAAAATTTATAAACAATCAAACTTCATTCTTCTTCAATGTGGCATGAATTGAAACACCTTTTGATAATTTTGACAACCTTTTCTTCACATCTTCATTGAAGTATATTGTATGATTGATGCCTTTTGGTTCATATCATGATGGGACCTATCTTTCGTTTCGTTTTCCCTACGGTGTTGTCTTAACGGGTAACTTTGGACGTGTACCATATACTCTACATAGCCCATACGTGTGAGTATGGGCTCACCAGCTAGTTCGCACACCACTAGGCCACTTTCCTTATCTGGTGGCCATACTCTGGGAGCCCCTTATACCGAACACCCGTTAGAACTAGAAACCGTCACGGCAGCACTATGCAAAGCATAACAATCGTTGTCCTACCATTGGTATATAATGCATGAGGTCCCCATTACTTCTACCTTTGTCATTAATGAATATAACCCCACTATCATATTTCATGCTTACATGTCATATCTCATTTTCAATTTACGTATCATACACATTTCTATTGGGGTTATATCTCCAGGCAGTTTACCGTATTTCATGTCATACAATTCATATGGTTTACATTCAAACATTTCATATAATTATGCCATAATAATTCAAGAACAACATAAACGCCATATGCATTATATACCACATCAGACTAAACAACATACATAACATACATTCACATTCACATGATTACGTACTTAAACACAACAATCTAGCATACAATTTAATGACACGTGCGAATCCACGGGCACATACCAACATACAACAAATAACGCGTAACCTACGACGGGTGAGCCACTTACTTGGTAGGCCTTAGCCGAAGTACTCCCTAAAATATAAACGTAAGCTCCTAGCTCCTCGTAACCGTTCTACACTTCCGTTGATGGTTGGTTCCTATTGGATCATTCGACACCTTCGTTAGTATTTCACGAACATAATTAATTTATAACTTGAATTTGTGAAATTCGACCTTAAAATGATCTATTTTACCTTAAACTGGGCCGAAACTAGGTTTGGGAGGGTCAGAACGGTGCGAAACAGGTCAAAATAGGTTTCTCGAGCTGAATAAGCTGTCGGAGCCTAGGAGTGTCGCACTGCAAACGTGCCACATGGCACAACAAGAGGGCAACGTGTGTACAGCGGTCTTGGGTCGAGGTGCGGGTTGTCGGGTCGCTCGCGAGTTTTCGGGTCGCGTCGCGGGTGACGAGTCGGCCTGGGCTAAAGGAAACGTGTAGGTGGGCTGGGCTATGCATGTCGGGCGTTGGACTGGGCTTGCGGTCTCTGGTCGGTTGGGTTTTTGTTCTCGGGTCGTGGCTGGTGGGTTAGGCCGTAACTGGGCTTACAGGTTTAGGCTGAGGCGACTGGCCAGTCGTCGGGTGTTGGGCTGACTTACGGTGGTTGGACTCGATTCGAGTCGCGGGAACCGGCCCTCGGTGATAAGATAAGGAACCACTACAAGGGGAGTAAGATTTGAATTACCTTGTTGATCGAATATCTCAAGGCAAGAACATTGTTAGAGATTCGAATCACTCCACAAGCAAGATCGATCATGTCTAGCTTGAATGATTCTTGTTGATCAAATATCTCAAGGCAAGAACACTTGTTTGAGATTTGAATCACTCCACAAGCAAGATTGATCATGTCGAGCTTGAATGATTCTGCATGCAACCTAAACTACATAGAATTGCAAATAAACTTAGCCATTGGCTAAAGAAAAGCACAAATTCTCCTTTTACTATATATTTTCCAAGTCTACTTACAAATACAACATACACGGCCTTAAGAGTTGTAACCTTCATACTTTATGGCCATAATTAGTCATTATGTAAATGTAACCTAAACTAAATAAAATGTCTTAAAATACAATAACTCTAAATTACTCTAAATTGTAACCCACTCAAAATTTATTAACAATCAAACTTCATTCTTCTTCAATGTGGCATGAATTGAAACATCTTTTGATAATTTTGACAACCTTTTCTTCACATCTTCATTGAAATATATTGTATGATTGATGCCTTTGGTTCATATCACTCGGGTTCGGACTTCGTCTTCTTCACCCGATTTCTTGCGTTTTTTCGGTGACCTCTTAACGTCGTTTCGATGCCCTTTTCCCTCTTTTTTCCTCTGTTCCTGAGTCCCTTTCTCCCCCTAATTCTGTTTCTGGTATTGGTTTGGTTCGTAAAGGCCTCACACTCTCGGATCTAAGAGGGTTTGGAAATCCGATGTTCCGTCTTCCTTGCCGACGGTGTACAACGTGTAGGACTCGTCCAAATCTATCCTTGATGAGCGTAAAAGGCTCTGGGATTACTTTTGTTGCGTAAAATGGAGGTTTTGATGTCGATTTCGTGGGGTTTGGCCTCGCCGTAGTTTCGTCGGATTTTCTCTGTCTTCTTCGTTTTCACTTATTTTTTCATTCTTAGTAGGTGTCTTCGGGTGGTTGAAGGTCAGGATCGAGTTTCCTTAGAGACCCAGACTTCGGCTGCCCTTTGTGGGTTGTGTGTGAATGAAAACTCCAGCATTCGCCGGAGTTTTCGGTTCTGCCGACGACTCCGTTATTTATTTATTTTTATTTTTTATTTTTTTATCCGATCCGTTACATTTTATATGAATTTGGGTAAAAGAAGTCATATCATTGAATTTAAATGTTAAGAAGAAAGAAAAAGGAAAATACAAATAATAGAAAGGAAAGATTTTGTAACGGCACCATCAGTTGAGGATTAAGGAGAGTGATATCTCAAAGAGAGCCTTTCACACAAGGTATGGACATTACGAGTTCAGGGTAATGTTGTTTGGCTTGACCAACGCTCCAACAGCCTTTATGGGGTGATGAACAAGGTGTTCAGAGAATACTTAGACAACTTTGTAATCGTCTTCATCGGTGATGTCCTTGTGTATTCCAAGACTAGGGAACAACACTAGGAACAACTCAAGAAGGTGTTGACACTCTGAGAATGAGCAAGTTGTTTGCAAAGTTCTCCAAGTGTAAATTCTAGGCAGAACAGGTGGAATTTCTTGGGCATGTAGCTTCACGAATGGGAATCACCGTAGACCCAGCAAAGATTGAAGCGATGACGAATTGGCCTGCCCGACCACAGTGACCGAGGTACAAAGTTTCCTTGTTCTAGTAGGGTATTATCGGTGGTTTGTGCAGGATTTCTCCATGATCGCCACCCCCCTCACTAAGTTGACCAAGAAAGGAAAGTCATTCACTTGGAATGATCAGTGTGATGATATAAAGATGAAGTTCTTTGTGATGTTTAACCAATGCATCCTGGAGACATATTGCTTGGCCGACCATGGCAATTTGACAGGAGAGTTATGTATGATGGCTATTTGAATCAGTATTCCTTTGTAAGAGATGGTAGAAAAACCACTCTTGTGCCTTTGAGTTATGCAAATGTATTTGCTGATCAATTAAAGTTGGAAAAAAAAAAAAAGAGTTTGAGGAAAAAGAGTTGAGTGAAA